AATGCTTCAGTCCATTTTGTGAAATACTCCTGTATTACGAGTATATAACTGTTCTTACGCTCTGTCTCATTGAGTGGGCCCATAATGTCCAGTGCAATGCGCTCCATGGGGGCTCCAACTCTGACAGTTCCCATAGGCGCTTGTGGAGTCTTGTGGGGTCTGGCTCTGCATGCGCAATTTGTACAAGTCCGGCACCAGAGGGCCACATCTTCTCTCATGTGGTACCAGTAGTATCTGGTTTGAAGTCTGGCCACCGTCCTTTCAATACCAAAATGTCCACCTACTGGCCCTTCATGCATTTGGCGCATAACATCGGGTTGCATCTTGCGCGGGAGAACAATTTGAGGATAGAACTGTGTATCGTCTAAACAGTAAAAGCGGCGGACCAGTACTCCATCTCTGAAGTACAGTCTTCTCCATTGACTCCAGTACGTTTTGGTGGCTGGGCTGCATGGGGAGACTGTGACCCATGGGGGCCGCTCACTGCTGACCCCTAACCAAGCTCTGATTGGTGCAATGTCTGTATCAGCAGCTTGAGCCTGGCACAACTCCTCCAAAGTCCAGCCAGGAAACAGTCTGATCTCGTTTGTGTTTGTCACATAAATAATCTCTGTTTGTTTTAAAGTGTCTGTGTTGCTAACATTACCAGCGCTTACCCCCACCGGACTCAGCAACAGGGAGCTGATGTCAGAGTCCAAATCACACTGAATTGCCTGGTGACTCATGGTTCTCTGCTGCAAGGAAGGATCCTGCAGATTACAAGGACAGGACTGGCGGCAGGGCCTGCGGGAGAGACTGTCAGCATTCGTGTGTAAGCGACCTGGGCGATGGATGATTTCGAACTCATACTCCGCTAGCTTCTCAAGCCACCGGGCTAACTGACCTTCCGGCTCTTTCATGCGCGTGAGCCAGCGCAGGCTGCTGTGGTCGGTTCGTACCTTGAAAGGCCTCCCAAGTAGGTACTGCCGAAAATGCGATGTGAAATCGACAATGGCTAGCAACTCCCGTCTCGTAGTGCAATAGTTCTGTTCAGCTTTGGCTAGTTTGCGGCTGCCGTATGCCAACACGCGTTCTGTGCCACCCTGCATTTGCGACAGGACCGCGCCGATACCGGTGTCGCTGGCATCGGTGTCCAGGATCATTTCACCATGGTCCAGTGGATAGCCTAAGACAGGGGCTGTGGTAAGGCGGTGCTTGAGCGTGTCAAAGGCGGCTTGGTGTTCAGCGTCCCACTGGAAGTGTGCATTCTTCTTAGTCAGGTTATGTAACGGTTCGGCAATGGAGGCAAAGTCTTTCACAAACCTGCGATAGTAGGAGGCGAGGCCAATGAAACGTCTGACCTCTTGAACTGATGTGGGAGTGGGCCAGGCTTTGACTTTGCTGACTTTATTGGGGTCAGTGGCCACACCGTGCTCAGACACAATATGACCTAGATAGGCAACTTGGCGGCGGAACAGGCAGCATTTGGCTGGTTTCAGTTTGAGATTTGCCTGTTTAAGTCTCTGGAACACTTGGCTCAGTCGCTGCAGCATCTCGGGCACATTCTTGGCCAGCACGATGATGTCGTCCAGGTAGACGAGACAGGTCTCCCACTGCATGCCGGCAAGGACGCGGTCCATAAGGCGTTGGAACGTCGCCGGCGCGTTACATAACCCGAATGGCATAACGTTCCATTCAAATAGTCCATTACGGGTGCAAAAGGCGGCTGCGCGGCGGGCTCTTGGTGTTAGCTCAACTTGCCAGTAACCTGCAGCAAGATCCAAAGTGCTGAACCATTTGGCTGTGGCGAGAGTGTCCAGCGTGTCTTGGATGCGGGGTAGCGGGTACGCGTCAGTGATGGTGTGGCTGTTGAGTGCCCTGTAGTCTATACAAAGGCGATAAGTCCCATCCTTTTTACGCACCATAACGATCGGCGAGGCCCAACTGCTGTGGCTGCGTGTGGCGATGCCGCTCTGGAGGCCCTCACTGATCTGCTGTTCTGCGCTTCGCTGCTTTTCCCCAGCCATACGACGAGGAGGCTGCTTCACTGGAGGTCCCGGCCGGGTTATGATGTCATGCTGCACAAGACTGGTCCGGCCCAGATCACCAGGTCCCCTGGAAAAGACACTTTCATAGACACACAACAGGTTAGATAATTCAAGTTTTTCATTGTCATTAAAGTCAGTGGAACTCTGGGCATAGAGCTCCTGGAGGTGCTCTGGAACTGCAGGGAGGCTGGCTGGAAAGTCTGCCGCTGTGGGAACACTGGACGAGGACAGAGCTTCAGCTGGCTGGAGGAGACCTGCAATGGCACCTTCTTTAATAGTCACAGCCTTGTTGCCAGGGTTAAAGAGGCGTAATGGAACGATGTTGGTGGGCTGTGCATTGACTAGGGCTCTGGCAATGAGTACTTTGTGCTTTTCAACAAAGCCTTTTGTGGGGCTAAGCATCATGTCTCCCTGGGCTTCTCTGCAAAAGTGCACATTGCCCTTGACTAGGTACTCTTGTCCCGCTTCAACCACAACAGTTCTGGCAACTCTTACAGCGTGTGACTTTGGAACAGTCTCTGGGTGAAAGTAGGGCACTTCTTCTCCAAACAGAATTATGCGGTGCTTACCGAAATCAAGGCGGGCCTCAGCTTGGGTGAGGAAAGGATGGCCAAGCAGCACCTCATTGCCCTCTATGTCCGCTACAAGGAAGTCCACCTCAACTTGACGGTTGTTGATACTGACCGGTACCTTGGCCTCACCAAGCACTGGCACGTCCCCTGGTCCCACCCCGAGCAAAGTCTCAACGATGGATGACTGAAGCGGTGGTCTTACATCTTGGTGAATGGCGTTGTATTGGTGAAGGGGCAGCACGCTCCTCCGCGCTCCACTGTCCAGGACTGCACATACCTCCAGCTCAGATATGCGCATGTGAATGTTCATTTCACGACTCTGGCTTTTAAGGTGGAACACAGTGGTCAGCGGGCTTCCTTTGGCGGCCTTTGAACGGAAAGTCTCTGTATTCCGTAGCGGGGATGAGCACTGACTCTGCTTGTGACCCCAACCATTACAGTTATAGCAGCGAATGTCACCCCTTTTAAAGTTCTTGTGCGGCTTCGGTGTTTTTGCAGATGTGCGCGCGTCAAAGTGAGTGGGTGATGGGCTAACTGCAGAGGTAGTGGTAGTCACAGTCTCAGTTTTGTCTCTTTCTCTGACAACAGCGGCCCGGGGCCTGCGTTCAATGAGGCTGCGGGCCCCTGGCTGCATGATGTTGGTGACATAGGAAGCAGCTCTCTTGGTAGTGTCATGACGGTGGGCTATCTCATAAGCTTTAGCTAGGGTAGCTGGACGGTTTTCTAACAGTCTCTGAACTAGCTCTGCATCACCCAGGCCGTTTGTGAAAACTTCAACCGCTATAGCGTCTTGCTCAGCCTCTGACCAGTCACCATAAGCTATAGATACTTTTCCATAAATGTCATCCCTGAACACATGAAGCGCCTCACCTGGTTTACGCACTCTTTGCCTCAGCTCTATGGCTACAGCCGCTGCATGATCTGAAGAAGGGCCATAAGCAGTTTCGAGTTCCTCCAGCAGGCGGCGGTAGTCCCATTTGGATGAACGGGGGTTTCTGTGGACGATGGCGCCTGCAGCTCCGGTGAGGCAGAATTTCAGCTGAATAGCCATTGTTTTGACTGACCAGTGATTTGCCTCCGCGCAACTCTCAAACCTGTGCAGAAACTCTCTCCACGGTGTGCTGCCGTCGTACTGGCCGGGACGTAGAGTGGGGACTCTCTCTTTGGGGTTATAGTCCTCATCACTGTCCGACAGAGGAGGCTGACGGGGCGCAGAGCGGCTCTTACGTGTTGGAGATGAGGGACCGGCCTGGCGCAATGGAAAATGTCCATGTTTTACAGTCATGTCTAGATTAATAGAAGAATATGGCATGGGAAACGTACTGGCTTCGGGTTTGGATATAGCTGGTGTGCTATGTACAAAACTTCCCATGTGAACATTGGCAAAGGGATTTGTGACTTCATAGTGCCCCTTAAATGGCATGTCTGGAGTGGGATATGTGAAAAGGTGCATGTCTGGCCTTCTCACGGAGCCGTGGCTTTGACTGTTGCCTCTACTAAAAGGATTTGTGGGTGAAAAATGGGCGGGGCTGTCGAACGGCGCGAACAGATCTTCTCCATTAGAAAGTGCGGCAGTGCAACTTTCATCACACAGGAATGGGTTATAATGTTCGCGTTTTCTCTCAGCCTTGCGCTCGTAAGCTTTCACAGTAACTTGATTGTTGTCCTCCACATTGGTTAGCGACATGAACGGGTTTGAGTAGTTGGTTTCTCGTCCGTAAACATCGGAGGGATAGCGAGCGGCCGCCATTTTGTATTAGCTTAGTCACGCCGCTATTTAGGTTGTATTACAGTCACTCGGCTTTACTTTTTATTGTCCTTCTATTTTCAATGCTCACCAGTCTTTTAACAACGTGACCGTCCCTTCGTGGTCGCCAGTGTTAACCTTTCCTGCTTCCGTCTCCTAACCGTGGTTGGGAGACACAGGGGAGATTCGTCTTCTCCAGGGCCGGTAGTTTTCCTCCCGGGGTTAACTCCCTAAACCTCACGCTGTTTAGTGTGATGGTAGCATATAAATGACAAAGAGGCCGTCTTGCCGAAGAGTTTAGGTGCTTTATTTTGCTGGCTGCACTAAAATACACTGTAATCGCTAACTACCTGCACCGGTCGCTGTATCACTATCACAACACTCTCATCCGCTCCTCACGGGGAATCAACAGGGGCGGCGCGCGCGCCTCGGACACGCGCACTCACTCTCGTTCACACACACACTGAGCTGTCCTGAACTAAACACATTGGAGACACATCCCACAACATAACGAAGTATTTGTACTTCGTTACATTCCACCACTGCACCAGTCTGCAGACTTCAGATCCTACAAAAATGCACAAACATTATACATAAGCAGTCATTTTAACAGCACAATGTCATTTGATTTATGTATTGAAAATAACAAAAAATGACCTTTATATTTGAGTAAAATCCCTAAAACCTTTTTTTCCCCAACAAATGCTGCCATCATCTTTCCTTGCAGGTCCTGCTCCACCACAAAAGCTCTGCAGCAAATGCACAGAAATCAAGAGTCAGAAAAGTTCTGTAATTTCTCCATTTGAAATTACAATAATTCAAATAAACTACAATTTAAGATTTAATAGATTTTGTCATCCATTTCTGTAGTATACTTTGCCTTGTAGTATACTTAGCCTTTGATGACAGCATTCAGCATCATGAGCCACTCTCCACCGGATAAACACACACGTGTTCTTCTGTCCCTGTAACATAGACACGATTCACATTAACGTTACCTCTGTGATTTTTGAGCTCAACACTGCATTTACATGATGTGTTAACTCACTTTTCATCCAACTTAAATGTTCCTCAATTTATCAACAGTAATAAGGGACAAATAAAATATATAACATGTTTAGTTACTTTATAGATTTTTTTATTTACCTTATTTACAGCACATTTGTCTAACGTAAACAGTGTTGACAACAGTGAATTATCCTACATAATAGCACACATCACTCAGATGTCTTATTCATGTTGTGATGTGCTCATCTGCAATACTTATACAATATTTTCCTTTCAGACGTAAATAGACATTTTAAATAAGCGTGTTTATTAAGATGTATATGGTTATGTAAATCCACTTTAGATTCGTAACGTTATACGTGTGCTTACTGGAGCTCCCCTAAAAAAATAAATAAAATAAAAATACTGGAGCTCCCCTGTTAGCTATACTAAAACATGTTTTTACAGCAAAATCACAACTATACTATACTGTCTAACTTTACACCTTCAGCAGTTAAAACGTTTACTCTTTAGTAGTTTAACACATACGATTTAAACACAAGGAACCGTGTTTAATCACATTTGAAAACCCCCGCGTCGCTGATCTCCTGGGATAGAAGAGTATCCATCGGACGAGTACTCGAAAATCTGGGCAGAAGCAGTAAGCCATCCGGGAACTTCTCGCCTACTCTTTTATTAATACTGACGTTTCGAACGTACTGCTTTTTTCACATACTCTTTTCTCCTACTAACGTAGACTCACTATATTCTGGACATCACGGTATTCCGGACACTTGACCTTTTCTTGCAAATTCTATAAATAAACACTTTCAGGTCACGGCATATATATATTTATCCGTGTCATCTTTGCCTCCTCTTTCGATTCCGACCAACCCTATGTTTCCAGAGCCAGTCGTTTCAAAGAAATCAACATGAGTTTCTAAAATACACCAATGACTGTTCAGAAAATGGCGAGGGGAAGGTTTTCCGGCAGGACAAAAGGAAGAGGGGAGAATACAACCGTAGAAAACGGCTCTTAAAACACCATCACCCACCAGAAAATTACAAAAAAACATTCTTATGGTCTTATAAAATAATTATGAGTTACAATTTGCAAATATTTGTACTTTTTTAAGGGATTTAAAAAATTTAAATATTTAAAATTATTAAATATAACGTTAACGTTAGAATATAATGCTCACATGAGCAATTGTGATTAAAAGAGTATAGACGCTTATACAACAAAGTTATGAAGATTAATATGATTATTTTACCAACTTATAGTTAAAATGTATGTGTATGTGTTTTATGTTAGAAATGACTCCTTCTTAACTGTCCGAAACACAGTGAGTAGAAATTTTCAGCCGTCCGGAACATCGTGAGTCCTCACGGTAATAATCCGGACACTGCGTCTCCCGGCAGTTTTTTCAAGATTTCTCCAAAATGATTAGTCCAAAATGTGTCAATCAAACTTCGGAACGTGTGGAAGGCATGTCCCCAGAGACAGACGAACCAATTAGGTTTATCTTTCCACGGATTGATATCTTACAGGACGTTTTACTGTGCAAAGTGTCCGGAATACAGTGAGTCTACGTTATATAGTAGGAAAGTAGGCATATTCAAACGCACTATCAGTACACGTACGTCCGAATCTCGCGAGAATTAGTACGTCACCCAGGTAATTCTCGCCTACTCTTTTATGATTCGTACATACTTTTCGCTCGCCTACTCTTTTTCCATACTATATAGTAGGGAAGTATGCGGTTTTCGAACGCAGCCCATGTTCCTCAATCAACAATAATTTGCAATGTAGGTGAAAAACAGATTAATCTTTTGAAAATCTTGTCCACTACATGCAAATAGTTTTGCCCTAGTCAAGACCTGCCAGTTCCGATTAAATAGATAAGAGCTATTTTTGGGACTATTTCTCAGAGTTTAACTGGAAACACAAGTCTTGCGCTCTTATCTCAAACAAACCTGGAAAAGTCCTTTCAATTTTAAAGTGTCTAATATATCCATTGTTGGCACAGACAAACTGGTCTCCCCTTATAGCCTTCACGAGTCCTGCCAAGACAGAGAGATTAAAAGGGATGTGAGGGGAGGGTGCGGCGTGCATGTGAAAACAGCCATGGATGACTGATTTGGTTTTTGTACCTTTTAAGCAGAACACCAAACCCCCTTTAACCCAAAAACAACAGTACATGTTGAATGGTATTATGGAAAGTGTTGAGATGAAATTGTTTAACACGCACTAGGTTAATTTTGGAGTGAATAATTCAATTTATTGATTTACCCATGTGCGACTCCTTCAACTCAACTCGTTCAAGAAGCCTAAATGACCTTCAAAGCATATAAGGCACAATTCACTTTCGCTGTATATTACTCACTGTATTGTTGTGAAACAAAGAAAATAAGGTGCCTATTAACACTGCATTGATCTTGCTTTGGCTCATTGTTCGGAAAGATACCGTATGTAGGCTACTGTAACTGACTGTTTAAAACACTGCTTATATTTCACATTAATTCTTACTGCCAGTATAGTAACTGATCACATGTACTTGGTGGTTGATTATGATTTCACTTTTCTAACTTTAGTTAGTGTGTAATGTTGCTGTTTGAGCATAAATAACATCTGCAAAGTAACGAAGGTCAAAGTTCAAAGCAAAGGGAGATATTTTCTATAAAAAAAAATTGCTTTATCTTCAGAAATACTGAGAAGAAATTAAAATCAACTAAAGAAATTGAGTAATATCTTCAGAATTACTGAGAAGTCGAGTTTTAAATATAATTCTTTTGAAGTCTTGGTGCTTAATGTGCTTGGTGCTTGGTACTTAATGAGCTTTTCACTTCCTGCTCAGCTACTGTTCGGACGTTCTTGCTTACTGCTCCACGTTTCGCTCTATCGCTTTTATATTTTTATATTTTATCTCCTTTTATCACCTAATTTTAACTCCAGCAAATCAGCACAGTGCTCAAAAGACAAAGCTTGGATTACTACAAAAAAGCAGAATTATTTTATCCAACCAGCCTCCCACTGAAAGCCATCAGCTTACATTTCGGGGAAGGGAAAACTGCCTACATTCAAAAGGATAAGAGAGAAAATGCATCTTCTGGTTCAAGAATCTACTTGCTGCACAAACTGTCACAGACATTTACAAAGGATTGCAGTTCTTGAAACAAAGTTACTTGCGGGACCACCAAACCAGACGGAATACACAACAGAGCTTCGTCATGGACGCCCTCAGCATACATCCGGTGAGTCCCATTAATCTAGTGCTCCTCGACAGGCCATACTCAGTGTAGAGAAACAAGTAACTGATCGACATACAAATCGATGGCACAAACAGGGAGCGAGACCCAAAGGCACTCGAGACATCAGATTGTCACGAGCATCACATATTGTCGCAGTAGCATCCTCTACAGCCCGCCGCATCACAAACGTCTTGGAGAGAAACCCCAAATAATAAGGCTTTAGAGGCCGCCATACCCCTCGTAGAGTGAGCTCTGACCGCCAAAGGACACGGCTGGTCAGAGTACTCGTAAGCAAGTGAAATAGCCTCGACTATCCACTTACTGACCGTCTGCTTAAAAGCAGGAAGACCTTTCTTGGGTGATCCAAAGCAAACAAATAGCTGATCGGATTTTCTCCACGGAGGAGTCCGATGAACATAAGTGTCTAGTGCTCACACAGGACACAAGAGGTTTAGCTTTTCCTGGTCTGAAAAGGTAAAAGGAGAAGGACAGAAAGTCTGCAGCACAATAGGCCTCGGAATCATGGTCGGCACCAAGCGGCAACCTCCCTGTCTCTCTCTTGAAACCAACACGGAAGTGAATTAAACAGCAATTCATCGACTGGCCGCTTGAGGCAGGCTGCAGAAGTGAGTCAAATCTGCATCTCCCCCATGTTAAAATGCCCAACTTTACAGCAGAAAAAAACATGTTTACAGCCTTGAGCAAAAAGTGGCTTTGGTCTATACAGCTAATTTTTCCCTTCATGACAACTGTGAGGGGGGTGAATTTTTTTATAACTCATCCGCTTAAATAATATTAAGCCTTCATTTTCCGCATACTTAAGGGTGTGTCCACTTTTGAGTGACAGGTGGATTCCCGCTGCTGTGGTCGTTAGTCATCATTAGCCGCTTGTCTGCTGTCTGTCACGTTACCTCAGCTAATTGTCTGAATGTAAAAATAAATCATTTTAGCCACTAAACTTGGCATCTCTGCCGTGTTTGCGATTTTTCGGGATTATTTCACAATTATAATGTCTTGCAGTGGGGTTAGTTGTATTAACAGACCGTCCAAGAAGCTTGGACTCGTTAGTCATCATTAAAGTTAGCCGCTTGCCTGCTGTCTGTTAGCCGTCACGTTACCTCAGCTAATTGTCTGACTGTAAAAATAAATCATTTTAGCCACTAAACTTGGCATCTCTGCCGTGTTTGCGATTTTTCGGGATTATTTCACAATTATAATGTCTTGCAGTGGGGTCAATTGTATTAACAGACCGCCCAAGAAGCTTGGATTTTTTTTCTAATAATTTATTTATTATTTATAATTGTATTTAAAACTTTATTACACTCCAGAATCCAACAGACTGTGATAAGCTGTAGGCTGAAACCATAGACTGTATAAAACGTCTGAAACGTTGTCATATAACGTTAATGTTACGCCTGCATTTCATAAATAGCGTAACATTTACTAACATGCACTGACTATTGGAAGAATTTTTTTGACATGTCCTCAAAGATATGTGTAGGAAATAAACCTGTAATTACTCAATAGACATGACAACGAAACAGAATGAGGACTTTGATGTCCGCCACAAATCTTTAAGCTAAATACATTTATTACAACATTGGACTGTAGTTATTTAAGTTATATTGTTTGCATGTAAAGTAGTCTGTGAAGAAGGTAACTCTCTATTTGTTTGTGTAAAGTTTTCCTCTAGGTGATCCAGAACATCTCAGGCTGGACCAGTGGATGCTCAACATGAAACGACAGAATTGGACTCCTAACAAGGATTCTCGTCTGTGCAGTGAACATTTTGAGAGTCATCACTTCACCACTGACTCCAGGGTACAGACACCTCGTTTCATACCTTACAAAGAGTCAAGCAACATATTGGTTGAAATTGGTGAAGTATTGACCATCATACATTCCTAATGAAGAAAAATGTGATATGCGATAACTCATTAAATAATGCGATATGCGATACGATAATGCTTAAAGTGTCTAAAATAAACTTAAATTATCTTTAAAATATATTTAAAATTATACATACCTACATGCGTGTTTCACTTTTTTTTTTTTTGACAAGAAAACATCCCTAGAGCTTCTGACAGTGAACAGCAGTGTTTTATTGTAGCATAAGTGTTATTTTAACACCAGTGTAAACCATGGGGTTTATAGTTTTAGGTTATCCTTCTGTCACGATGTGGTTGAAACAAGAAAGTAGCAGGATCCACTTGCAGCTCACTTTATTAAACAAACTTCAAACTTAACAAGGACTCAGACAGGGAACAGGACAACCAGCATCAACATTACAACATCAAGAACTCACCAGGACTGAACTAAAACACAGGGCTTAAATACAAGGGAACACAAAGTAAACA